TCTAAGAATTCATTCCAGTGTGACTGTAAAGCATCAATGGGCATCTGTCACGGCCGTCAGCCTCTACTGGCGGCCGGCAGCAAGTGCGACGGCGGAGCGTGGTTGTGTGTGTGTTTACAGAGGCGTTGCTGCAGAAACTAGTAAATTCATCAGCAGCAGGGATTAGGGCGAACACATGGGCTCCACACACGGCCGCACCGCCTCGCCTCGCACTGAGACATTATTGTTTGATTGTGCGTCAGGGTCGGCTTCAGAGCGTCTCGTGACAGTTTTACATTTTTGGGGGGTCAAATGGCAGCAACACAAAAATCCTCACCTTCAACCAGAAACAGTGTCAGAGTCAGACTGTCCCCTCAGATAAACACCACCAATTTTTAAAATAAACAGCCTCTTTCCCTACAAGGCAGAAGCACATAATCCTCCAAAAACAGAGGCCAGGTTGGAGCCAGGAGTTCATATTATTCTGGCGAGTCAGAGAAAGCATAAAACAAGCCACATAAACCCTCCTCCTGCTGCTGTCAAACACCAGATAAATAAGCAGGATCCTGAAACTTATTATCAACTGGTGTCAACTCACAACACGTCCCTGTAGATTGTAGCTGCACGTGAACACAACGAAAGACTGAAAAACAGCAAAGGATCAGCTGCAGGGGATCATGTTATCCTGCTGAATTTAGGGGAAATCATAATCCGAGGGCAGCGAGTGAAGAAGAAAAGTGATGTGCTCTGCTGATTTAAACAGGTTAAGGAGAGTCTTTTCGTTAATTTAGAGTACTGTGGGTATGAAATGCATGATTTTCTTGACTTGGAGCAAGAATCACAACTTTAATAAGCATCTTAACTGAAAAAAAAAGCCACACAATTTTGTCATATTGGAAGATTTTCCCGTTAAACAGTGCACTTGGCTGGCATATTGCAGGGTATCTGTGTTCTCCTGACAGCAGGTCTTTCCTCTCTGACAGGCTGCACTTTAATCCCAACATAAAAAAAATGAAAATACAGCGGTTTTCACCAGCTCCGTGTTTCCAGGACTCACCTATGTCGGAGCTGCAGAAGGCGTCCTGCGGGTGCGTCAGAGCGCACGAGCAGCCCTCCGTCAGCTGGTGAACCTGCAGGCTGCTGAAGACAAACAGCAGGCTGATCAGGTGCTGGTACACCGACTGCATCGTTCCAAAGTTTTCCCCCGCTTGCTCTGATAAACCGTACGGAGTCCGATCACCGCGCACCGGCGTCTGTTCGCGCTGTCGCTTGTCGTGGAAGCTGCGGGACTCTGTGCGTAACGTCCAAGTGGTGCTGTGCCGCCGTTCGCTCACTGCTGCTGCTGCTGCTGCTGCTGCTTCTGCTGCTTCTCGCCTCTGGAGCTTCTCTCCCTGAGTCCCGGAGACGAGCACGAGTACATATAGCGCGCCAGACGCGGCCACGCCCCCTTTTTTCCACCTCTGCAGCTCGCAGCCAATCAGAGGCCGGTGATGCCGTCAGGATGACATAAATGCTGGAACCGTTCTTCTGATTTTCCCAAATAAAAAAGTGCACAGAAAAAAAGAAACAGCAGGACAAAATACTAAGGCTTGGGTCTATTTTCTAGTGAGTTAAAGGTGCTTTAATTTATACCATGCTGCTTTATAAATCACATAAATACTAAATCATGCGATATAAACAGGGTATTTATGATGTAAATATATAATGTGAATAACATAAACTTCATAAATTCAATTAACTGTCGACAAACGTGCCATTAAACCTGCCCCCAAATGAAAGGTTTTGGTAATTAACAGATAATTACAAAAAAAGACAACGTTAACTATTAAACAAAACAACATCCACATCAAAATTCCATATTTTCACAAATTTATTGGTTGTTTTACAGATTTGACCGTGAAACTAGTCAATGTTTTACTGTATTTGTGAGGGAAACATGTGAATATTAATATTTGTGAAATATCTCATAAAATGCCCACACTATGTTTAAATCTACAGTATTGTAAAACTGTTATTTCACAGATTTATTCCTTCTTCTTTTTTTGGTAAATTACAGATAATATCACTACAATAACAGTATAAAGTATAGATTTACATGTTAACCATAAAAACATTTTTTTCCTCTCAATAAATCAGCAGAAATCTGATAATTTTACAGATGCTTTCTGTGATTTGAAAGAACTGAAAAATGGTTTAAAAAAAGAAAAAAAAACTGTTATTGTCCAGATTTTGCCTGTTTTGGTAAATTATGGATAATGTCTTGTAAATTGTCAGAAAAAAATATAAATTTACCTACTTAAAATTAAAACGAAACTTAAAAAAAAAACAGGCCCAAACTGTAAATAATGTCCACATACTTTTTTGTACAGATAGTAATTACACTCTTGCTGCCAGACTGTCACAGTTGTTTTTATTATTTTCATTTACTCTGAAAAGGCTTCATCTGAAAGGCTTTTGTAATTAGCTGACTGAAAGGTCCCATGTTGAACCTCTTTTCAGCAAATTAATGAAAGTCTCACATGTTCCCAAAATGTGTCTTTTAATCTTTCATCTTATAAAACTGTCAGGATGGTTTATGTCTCCATGACTGTACACCTCCTGGGCTTAGTCACCCTCTTAAAGGGCTTTTCCAGTGTTTGTAGCTTTAAATGCAGCTGATCTGCTGCCGAACACGCCCTCCTTCAGGAAGAAGACTCACTCTGGGATTGACAGATCAGAGCAAAACAGATGTGAATGATGTGTGAGACCAGGACTTCCTGTTGCTTCTGACTTTCTCTATAAGTGATCCTTTAAAATGGAAATACAGCCGTGACTCGTTGTGATAGCAAGACGGAGGTCGAGATACACGGAGGGCTTGATGCTTGAATTTGTTAATTAGTTGTATAGTTGTTATAATAACTAGTAGGGCTGGTCCCAATAGAAGTTTCTGGTCTCTGGATATTCAGGCCCAATTATTGATGAATATCAGAAAATTTGGGGGTCGGGGGACACTTCCACACCGGGGCAGCGCTCCGACGGGGTGGAAGTGTCCAGAACACACAGGCAGTACTTGGCTGCTGATGCTAGTTTAGTTAGCGCTCACACTTCTGTTTCCACCGTCCATGTTTACTTCCATAAACACTGAGCTCGCTGCGTGTGACGTCGTCGTGTCCTCTTCTGCGCATGCGGGACACTTTTGGGTCGTATGAAGTTCACACAGCAGATCACATACAAGTCGCATTTAATTGGAAACGTGAAGGAAGTCACAAAGAAATCCTCATTGAGCATCAAGTCCTGCAGTGTGAACGTAGCCAATCTGTGGGATTGTTCAGTCAGATAATACACCGTTATCCTGATTGGTGACATTAAATGTCATGTTGGAGTCAGAATCCAAGGCTGTCGGTATGTTAAGGCTGTTTTTAATGGGTTCTGTTCATTTTTCCTTAAAAACTGTCGGATAGCAAGGTTTAGGATTGTTAAGGGTCAGATTATCGAGTCACGACTGTATCGCTGAGTTCATCGCACAGCTGTTGCCTTTAACTCGTGTGTTTGCTGTCGGCTGGAGTTCAGTAAAATTCTGCAGACTTTCTACTTGCTGGGGGCTTGAATGAAGGCAGAAGCAAACATTTCACCGCTCCAAGTTCACAACAAAACACAATAAAAATGGATTCTCACCATATGGGACCTTTAATCTGCCTCCCTCCAGTAACAATGGATAAGCAACATAAAGCCGCCAACAGTTTATTACCCCATAAACCAGTAAAAACAATAAATCCTCACAGTTACAAAGCAGGAACGAGGTAATGATTAGTCAAAAAATCAGATTAAATGTCGGTTGATTGATCGCTGAATCCCAGAGACACAGTCTTCACTTCTGAAATGCTTTATTCCTTTTGTTTTGCTCTTCTTCTTTTTTTTTTTCCGCTCACTTCTCTCCCAGGAGTCTCACTTAGTCATCCTGCCCACCGCCTGACGCCCCCTTAATTAGTAATACTTATTGAATCCAGTCTGCAGCAGCCGTCGGAGGCAACCAGATGACTGTTTATCTCCAAACAGCCAGATCGGTAGATGCGAAGGCAAAAGAGAAGCTCGCAGGTTTGTTCTCTCTGAGAAATTAGCCAATCTAAGGCCTCTTTTCTTTCCTGTCCTGAGCGTGCGCTCCCGCCGCAGAGGCTTATCTGCTGAGAGGAGCTATGTTAAGAGTCGAGGCTACTCCCGGTTACATAAGCGGGCCAGAAATAATCGGGTCGGGGAACTCTGACCCTTCATGTGCCTTCATTAGCCGTTATCTCAGTTTGAAGAAGCTGCGTGGAACGCTTCGGATTGTTGGGTTTGATCTCAAATAAAGGCTTTTCTCATTCATTTGATCAAAGTAAGTTAAGCCAGATACGGATGGAAAGATCAACTTGTGATGATATTATCCAAACAAACATCGATTAATCGTCCATGACTCCTTGTGCCGTCACTACAACAGCGGTGCGTTCAGGTGCAACGCTTTCCAGACCATGTGAAAATGCAGAACCGCCTGCAGAAACATCCAACGTCAGATTTCGTCAGAAGCTCCACAGCGAGCAGAACTATGCCAGCTGCTCAGCCGTAGTTAACCATTGATAGCCCCCGTCAGATATTATTTCAGCCCCCCGCCTTCAGCGCGAGCCGACATATTTGTCACATTCCTCTGGTCGTGCAGCGGATCCCCGCACGTGGATCTAAACGCTGGACGCCCAAAAACAGGAAAGTTCAGGCTGACAGGAAGCGGTGATTCACTCACATGACTTCATAAAGAGGTGAAACGCCTGCATTCCTCACATACGTCCCAAAGATAACAGACCTGAAACAGAAGGAACAAACCTAATAAGGGAATTATCACAACGGCAGGTTTAACCTCAAAAAACCCGCCGGCAGGTTTGAAAAGCGTGTTCCGGTTTAAAATGATCACTAAAATTACACAGTTTAGCAGCAACTGGAAACTTTAGAAACAGAAAGACTTGATGCGTTTTCAATTTTCCGACGGTCCTTGAACTACTCGTCAGTGATGCGCTGTTCCATCTGAAAAAATAATCAAATCTAATCTTTTAAATCTTAAAATTCTCATATTTCCGATGATATTTCAGTTCATTGGCATAACTTTAAAACTCAAAACTGTTTAAATGATTGAGTCACATAAAAATTCACCTTCTTTATAGTTGTCACAGGAGCAAAATAGCAAAACAGGCCGTTAACATGTTTGTTTCAGTTGGGTGTTTTAACTGAGGGGTCTCTGCAGTCACCAAAAATAAAGCCAGAATTTTACCGAATTTTTCTTTTAATAATAAAAAATTAAAAAGAAAAAAAACACACAAAAATTTTAAGAAAATTCCAAATATAGATTGCAAATTACACCTCAAATGTAACAAACATTTAAATCCAATAACTGAGTAATATTAATGATAATTTCCTTCTTTTTACATAAATTTACAGTTTTTAACATTTTAAAAAAATCTGTTAATTCTGCATAGTTTCACAGATATTTATCTTTTAACTGGTAGACACACCCGTGAATTTTTAGTTCTGTAAATATATTTGTAAATTTAGAAAATATTTAATGATAAATATCAACCTTTGTGATTATAAATAAGTTTAGATTTTGTATAATTAGGTTTTCACAACAAAAATGTTGAATGAATGCTTTTTTTATTAGCATTTTGTGTCTATAAACACTGATAATCAGTCAAAATACAATTTTAATCAATATAATCTATCATTTATCACTGCATCCATCTATCTCTTCATCTATATAGGTTTTAACACTTGTAAATATCCATAATTAAACATTTAAAAGCTCCAAAAAATGCATGTAATCTTATATAAAATTATTATTTGTAATTTTACAGTATTTTTTTCCAACCCAGCTGCCAGAATATTACAATTTCTTTTACATTTTTTATACTGTATTTTATTGACCTGCCTTTATCACATGCCTCAAGTGGATGTTCAAGGAGCTGCAGTTTTTGGCACTAATTTATTGGCTTCGTTCTTCAGCGTCGTTGACGTTACCGTTAAAGCTCGTCGTGCAGATCGAACACAGCTGCAGCGACTCCCGTTGCCCACCGTGACTTCATTTTGTTCTGGGACGGACTGTTTCCTCTGTTATCTGTTCGGTCCTCGCGGAGTCGTCTGCAGACTTACGTGTGATAAAGAGCTATAAATGAACTTGAACTCGCGCCGCCTTCCAGCCTGTTTATGCTCCGTCTAATCTGAAAGCAACGAGCGAGGCCTCGTCGTCTGGCTTCTGTCAGCGGGGATTCTCCAAAATGCTGCAAAGTGAAGGTTTTACGGGGAACGTAACGGAAATGAAAGCAGACTGAAGGGCAACACTTTGTTCTTGGGATGCAGAAAGTGATTTATTAGCTAAACACACTCTAAAAAAT